CTTGTGTAACAATACCGCCATGGCACCGATTGGACGATTGGATAACGAAGCTGAACCTATGTTTTCGTTACAGAATCATAAATTGTCATATTCGCAGTCTTGAAAATGGTGTTCACGTAACTTTAAAAAGCAGATATCCAATACGTAACAAAGAGATGAAGGTCATGATTCCAAAATTTACTACAAGAATCAGAGAACGTTTCTTTCTAACCTAATAACCAAAGATTTGGAACAAACGTCCAAGTGATATCAGAACATGGTACACACTTTGCAATTTAAGCTTGCGATTAGTAAGCAATTAACCGCCCAAAACGTGATTATGTTCGGGACATCACAGTCCCTAGATAACGCATTCGAAAAAGGTATCCATGGTTTCTGAATAAATTTCGAAATATATACACATAACAATTCGGACAATAGCCCCTTTCGTTAAATTTCTTGTTCTTCTAGGCCCAAATATCTGTCATGTGATTGTGAAGAATCTTGATTCATGGGCAGGAAAAATATAGCAGAACGATTCTGCTTACTCTGTTACCTAATTTGCAACTGCACCCATGTTTATCTCTGAAAATGTATTAATGAAATGTCATGGAGAACTTGTACCCTTATTTGATCTGTCCCTATTAGGGAACAGCTTCTCACATCGTGGAGGAATATACAATTTATTTATTTATTTATTTTTTCAGATGGTTGTTTTGAAAGCGTGCCCCATACATTTGAGATAAAGGTTACACCGGTAGATAAATTGCGTCTTCAGTATGATTCCGCACTCTTGTAAAATTGGATAGGGATTGTGCACTTCCAGGTGGTGAGAAAGGCACACACACACACACACACACACAAGTTTGTGCATCGTCGCCATATGTAGCTCCTTTGAGTATATGCTACCTAATGTGCGGCAACTGCGGAGAGTACATTAATGACTTTCCTCAAACGACCAACGGTGAGCAATTATCCATCAGCGATACAATCAAAGCAACAAACATTACCTGGGTCATTGAATCCCGTCACAATACACAGACTTCAAATCATTAAGGCAGCTGAGCTTATTGAGAGGGTGAATGTGAACTCATATGATTCGCACCTGACGGCTCAGATTATTTATCTGATGGATGGGTATACAGAAAGTTGTCACTGTACTGCATGATCCACACTGCCAATCGCAACAGATTTTGTAACCCCCGTCAATCTGAGGTCACTCTACCTCCCGGGAGTTTGGATTAACAGTCGTTTGAAATTCGAAAGTATAATCGAACAGGTTCCCTATTCAGAATGGGTGGCGCCGATTGTGGTGGTGTGGAAAGTGAACGGCAAGTTCCCTATCTGTGCTGATTTGTTAACAGGATTGAATTCTGTGCTGGAGACGCATCAGTACTCATTGCCTGTACTAGAAGACTTGTTCTTCGAACTCAACGGTGGCAAATGCTTCGCGAAACTTGATATAGCTGATGCTTACTTGCAAGCCCCATTTGCAGAGGAGTGCAGAACATTACTAACGGTTAATACGCACCTCGGGCTTTTCCACTACAACCGGCTGCTATTTCGGGTGAAAACCGCACCGGCCATTTTCCAACCAATTCTGGATACCTTGCGAATGATGTCCCCAGTACCGCGGTCTACTTGGATGATGCACTGATTATGGGCGCAGACTTGCAAGCCTTAATGCACACACTAAAGCCAGTGCTTTCACGTTTGGAAGAAGTTGGCTTTCGATTATGGGCTGAGAAATGTGAGTTTGCAAAGGAAGTCGTTGTTCTGGGGGCCAGCCCTCTCCTCTGCACATTCATAACATGCAAGACAGTGGAGGATGCGCCGCGTTATATCGCAGTTAAATATCAGTCATGGTAGTTCGCTGCCGCCGCTCATGGCTCGGTGACATAAGTCGCTGACTTGCAAGAGTAAGGTCGTGGCTTCGAATCCGGCAGGATTCAGCGGGTGTGCGCTACTGACGAGTCCCAATAGGACAAAACGGCCTTCTGGCGCTTTCCTGGATGTGTGGTGGCTGTCCGCCTGTGTCTAGCTGCGACGAATCTGCACAAAACCTAATAAATGTCCCAATTATTTACAAAGGTGAGTTCATGTTAGGTGGTGTTCGATTCCTCGGGTTTATCATAGACCAACGTGGCCGGCGCCAAGATCCCGCCAATATCGGCGCTGCACGTTCACGCACCAAGCGGCACAAGCGGAAACGGGTACAAATCAGTGGTACCGGATTTAAAACGCAGCGCATATCCTGTGCCGCGAGCGTCGAATAGTGAACTATTGGAACTAATTGCCGGAGATGCTGGTCGAGGTGAATTCGGTGTCGAAATTTAAGATTCCTTGACACTCACTTTACGGACTAGATATAGGGAGCGTATCGCAAGCGGATAAGATGTAGTGCAGCTGCAACCTATCTGCTGCCATCGCGCAGGAATCAGCGACATCATTCCGCTCATGTGCCCGATGCACCTACGAGGGAACAACACAGATTTTATTTTGTCACTCTCTATTCTCATTACTCAGTATTTAGTATCAAACGGATGGAGCCACCGAAAGACGTCTCGGAGCTTCGCTCGTTCCTCATTCTCCTGAGCCATTACAGTGTTTTCCTACCAAGCGTTCATCAAACCAGAGGTCCGCTAGATCTGTTGCTGACGAAAGATAACCTTTGGAAATAGACGAGGGAAGGTCAGCAGTTAGTTGACGCAATTAAAGTAGCACACACTTCTGGTCTACTATTGACTCATTTCAAGCTGAACTTGGAAATCATGGTTGTCTGGGGTGCTTCCAATTAAGGAATCGGCGCCGCTATTTCCCACCATTTTCTGAACGGAAGTGAGAAGGCGATTGCATATGTGTACGGTCGCTAACGTCAGTTGAGAAGAACTATAGTCATATTGAAAAGGAAGCAGGCACAACCGTTGTCGTTATGAAGCTGTTCCACAAGATGTTCTATGGCAGACACTTACCCACTTGACTGAATATAAGCCATTGCCGTCGATATTGGGCTCAAACAAAGGAATTCCCGTTTTTACCGCAAATCGGTTACGAAGATGGGTGACTGTACTGTTGGCGTAGGAGTTCCATATGCAGTATCGACCAATGCAACCAATCGGCCAAGCGGATGCCCTGTCCCGTCTCATCAATTGGCACCCAAAGGAGAACAATGATTGTGTGATTGCAGCCATCAAGTTCGAGTCAGAAGTCAAGCGAATCCTGACGGATATTTTAAGATTACCAGTAACAGTTGACACTGTTCGCTCGGAGACTTCCCGAGACAGAATCCTAGAGAAAGTGATGTATTACATGCAAACAGCTTGGCCAAAAATTGACATCACCTCTGACTGGCGGCCGTTCTTCAACAGACGTGGGTCACTGTCCATGGTGGACATTTCTTTGGTGTTTGGAGACCTAGTGGTGGTGCCGAAAATAATGGGACAGGCAAATTTTACAGCGGTTCTTTACCTGGCATCCAGGTACCAACCATATGAAAGCCTTGGCACGCAGTGTTGTTCATTGGCATGGAATGTATTCAGAAAGTAAACAATTCTGCCAAACAGGCACATCCTGTCAACTGGCGGCGAAGGCCCTTCTTAAGTATCCCTGGCAAGGTTGGCCTAAAGAAGAGAAACCATGGCAGCGAATCCACGTAGATTATGCAGGACCGATCGCCGGTCAATCCTATCTTGTTTTGGTGCACTCTTTCTCCAACAGTCCTGATGTGATCCTGATGCAAACTTCGACTGCCCAGCACACGATCAACGGGCTGAAAAAGCTGTTCCAGTATTACGGCTTACCAGAGTTGGCAGTGACAGACAAGGGTACACAATTAACTTTAACTTCCTATCGCGAGTGGTGTAAAGAGAAAGGAATTCAGCAGAGGTTCGTACCACCCTATCCTATGCAAGCAAACGGAGAGGTGTAACGGTTTCTGGATACCTTTAAACGTGCTCTTTGTAAAGTGGGACAGAACAAGTTCCCGGAGGACGCGATCCACTCTTTCCTGTGCATGTATCGGAATCCGCCAAACGCAAACGCCCAAGATGGCAGAGCCCCTGCCGAAGTTTTATTTGGACAAAAGCTCCGGACATTGTTCGATAACCTTGTGCAAAGCAGAACAGAAAAGCATTGTAGTTGTCCAGTAGAGGGAAATGTGACAGACAGGCTGCGTCATAACAAAACTGGTGGCATGGTGTACGCCCGAGACTATCGAGGACCGAGGAGGTGGTCAACAGGAAGAGTGACCCTCAGGAAGGACCGAGTCCTTTACGAGGTTATGGTAGGAAAGGAGAAATGGGTCAGTCACGCCAATCAGCTATGGCCGAATCACCGTAAGACTCAAAGCTCCAGAGTCGCCATCCTTACCACGGGACATCCTGCTAGACACGTTTGGTTTGGAAGAAGTAGATAAGCGACTATTTGGATCACAACAGACTCTGTAAGCACAGACAATGCCAGGCGACCGGAAAGCGGAGACGATCACATTGGCTACAACTTGACTTGAAAAGCTCTGAACCAAGTCGAGTTCGAACAGTACGCAAACAGAGTAAATTCGAAAAGGCCGGTAATCGGGGGCTGAAGCCTAATCACGTGACACAGTTTCGGGACGTCTGTCTGGAGTTGTTACCCGACCGACGGGAACACGGCTGAGTCCGCCGGAAGCTGATGAAATCAGACCGCCATCATCACACGGGTTGTCACGTGACAGGGCGCGACAACAGCTAGCCATTGCGGACCGCAAGCAGGTTTGAAATCTGTCCAGGGCAAGTGGCTTGAGTCAGCGTAGGAACATACAACAGGAGATGATAGATCGTGACCTATAAAAGCAAACATGTATGCCTAATATACCGGTCTAGTGGGCTTCGGTGTCCTGCTCTCATCCCCGGCTGGGTTGGCATTGTAGAGAGCAGAGGGGAGGGCAGCGTTACAACAGCGTCTTAATGAGTGCCCTCAGTAAGCTTTTTAAATCAATAAAACAAACATTAAAAGTCACATGAAGAGCCCATCACATAACTCACCGTCTCCTCAGACTGCTCCGTGTCCTCCGAAAGACCCAGTTTTTCGCATGGAGCGTACTGCGTGCAGTGGTCGTACGCACCTTCAGGATGTAACACCAAAATGAGGCCATGGACAACACCCTGAAAGCAAAATCAAAAAGTGATATATTAGTTTAATATTTGAAATTTGTTAGGCTTTGGAATCCATGTTGTATGTCTGCGTAACGAATTGAAATGTTAACCTGAACCACCATTTTGATTGTCCCGATCACTGGAATGGATGCGAACCGGGTGTGTCACCCCATTAATTGTTAACGCAGAGGTGGCCGAATCAAGATGTGAGATGTGAAGTGTCTTTTCTGAACATTGTAAGCTGATGCCGTCACTTCGGATGTTCTTTTCAATCACACATGTGCAACCAATAATGCATTCAAGAAGGGTAAGGTTATGTGAGATGGAGTACTGGCCAACTGGTGGTACACTTGCGTACTTTTTGCTATCATGGTACCCGTAATGTTATTGTCAACCAGTTATGCATACCGAGCGGCGGCCACTTTCGATCGACAGCGATGCTCTCAGGATGCTTGAGAATGTGGGAGATTCGGCTGCGAAAATGAACAAGATGTGTGCCAAGTAAATGCTTCGTGAATGCTGAGATAATCCAATTGCACTATTCGCCACCTTTATTCGTCTGAGCTGCCATTTTCTTGCATATTCTATTTGGGGAGTGTTCATCGATTCGGACAAGCAGATTCTACTCAATACGGTCAAAGTTGCTGGCTACAGAGGTACCGCTAAATCTGTATGAGCCATGTACTATGAAACAGATAGATAGATAGATAGATAGATAGATAGATAGATAGATAGATAGATAGATAGATAGATAGATAGATAGATAGATAGATAGATAGATAGATAGATAGATAGATAGATAGATAGATAGATAGATAGATAGATAGATAGATAGATAGATAGATAGATAGATAGATAGATAGATAGATAGATAGATAGATAGATAGATAGATAGATAGATAGATAGATAGATAGATAGATAGATAGATAGATAGATAGATAGATAGATAGATAGATAGATAGATAGATAGATAGATAGATAGATAGATAGATAGATAGATAGATAGATAGATAGATAGATAGATAGATAGATAGATAGATAGATAGATAGATAGATAGATAGATAGATAGATAGATAGATAGATAGATAGATAGATAGATAGGTAAATAAATGGATAGATAGAAAGATAGATATATGGTGGCAACTGACCCTAAATAATGATGGCTGAAGTGGTTTCCACTGACTAATTGGACTGCAGCTTCGCTGCTCGTGTCTTGCAGAAGACGCTCTGTCAGATGGGTGCAGTTTTGAGTAAAGTTCGTGATGGTCGCTTCAATACATATGTGTGTGTCAAAGCTGGGTTTAATTCCTCACGTTTAGGGATAGACCTGGTCGGAGACTTGAAACGCACAACCGGATTATGTACATTAAATTATCCTGATCTACGTAACCGACTAACAGGTAATATCCAACTATGCCCACCTCGTCACAGGTGATGCACCTGTGATTTCAGACATCCACCGTCTTGCAACAAGCGAACTAATTGCGTTGAAGCTTCCGGACTTGGAAATGAAAGTCTTCACCGTAATCGAGAAGCTGTCGCAAATAGACTTGAAGAACGTAGACCTGTAAATTGGAATAGTGCTGACCTGTTCGAGAGTAGTATTGTACGGAAGTATACTTAAACGTACTGCTTAATTGTCCTGAATGACATACAGGAGGCACACCCTATGCCCAAAAAAAACAACGAGAATACTAATTGAAGACCTTCCGAAAATTATCACGAAAAATACAGGGGATCTGAGATGAAATTTAAAATCCAGGCAATGATATCACACGGCATCCCACGCCATCCGGGCTGCTACGGATGTGCCGCCTGAAATGAAACTTGGAGGGGAGATCCGGAGATCCAAATTCGTTCAGTAACTGGTTCCCTTCAGGGAAACTGGATGGGAGTCGAAAGATTGCGTGCAGCGGAGTCACAGGTGCAGAGCCACCATAACTTTGGAAGAGCACTGGATAGTGACGCGCCTCAACCTGGAGTCAGCGGTAAAGCGCACCTCTCCGGACACACTTAGGACTCAAAACAAATATACTTCAATTGTGATGCGCCGAAGTTGGCCACCGGCTCACAGGTGATGACGACGACTGACGTCACCAAAATGAAATCCGTGAGTAATGAAGCCTATCCGTTTTAGTTCCCTTGAAGAAACTTAACATTAGCGAGCAGAGCTGTCTGCTGTAATGAAGAGCGTTCACCATGTATTTTATCGTATCATCAATATTCGCACTCATCTGCGAGCGTTACCCTGAATGTTGCACAGCACACTCTTGTTTGTAAGCTTGCGAAGATCAGACATGGATCTACCTGAAAAAGTAATCCTAACAGCAATTACTCATGAGCATCACTTTACCGCTCGGTCACGCGATTCTGCAGCATGTCCGGACGGGGAATGGCACGTACCTTGGTCAAGTCAGTTTGCGAACGACGTGTCGTCATCATCCCATCAAAAAAACGAATAACAGGCGACCTGAAATCGGTCAGCATTCTACCAAACTTGACTTCTTTTGGCTCCCTATGAGCTCCTAGAGACCGAGAAATTATACTGCCTTTATACCAAAACTCAAAACATTTTCAATAAGCTTGCTGAACTAAACAGTGGTACCAACTCGAAGCCATGCGATATTATCGTTGTCAGGGAGGCATAGTTGCACAGTGAAATTACACACGCTGAGGTCTCGCTGCCGGGCATCTTACTCATACGAAACGATAAGCTTACAAAAGGAGGAGGGGTAATTCTTTATCACCGAAGCAACCTACAGTGGGAGGCCGTTGAGGATTCAGTCAAACAGTCTGCCGATTCTCTTTGGTGCCGTTTGCAACTACTGGCAGTGACACCTGCATTATAGCTTTGCTGTACCGCCCCCCAAACTCTACACCGGAAATTGACTTCCACCTTGCGACAGCTTTAAGTGGCAGCCTAAAGAGAAAGCGCACTCATATCTTTATAATGGGAGATTTCAAGCTACACTGTTTAGAAACTTCTGCTACAATCGGAGAGCCATGCAAAGCAGATCTGCGATAGCCCATAACCAGTGTTAAAACTTATACTCACGTCATTACGCCCATTCGTTTCAGAACAGGTAATAGACCATATTTACTGGCTCTTGAGTTCACCGACGAGGAACATAGGATCGATGTATTAATCGTAGCATGGCCCTTAGGTCGCAGTGTTCATGCACTCATCAGTTTCGACTTCATCTGCTATGCGAAATATTGAAATCAGAACCCTGAGTTGATGCGTACCATTACACACTACAACCGATTAGCCCAGCTCTTCAATGTAACAACTTGGTCCTTCCTCACTGAAGGCGATCCGGAAGACCCTTAGCTTGAATTCGTCGGCAAATTCAATCAACTGGTTTCGGATGCCTCAGAGACAAGGGATTTCAGTGGACCCAAAACCGTTTCTTTCGGGAGGAGGTGAACAAGCAAATGGATAACTGTACGCAACGCAGCCTGGCAAAAGTACCGATCATCACCAAACGCCAGATAATTGGGACAACTATGGAGCTCATCGTACCAACTGCACTCAACTGCTCAGAGATGAAAAAGTCGCATATCAGCAGAATATGGCGAAAACTTTCAGTGCTAACCACAAATTGATGTACAAATATGTCCATGGCCGTCGTAAGGTGAAGCAGGGAATTCCTTCTCTCCGGAAGACTGCTAAACCAATTAGAACAGCCATAGAAGCAGCAAACGCATTGCTGAAGCAATATGCTCCCACATCAGGCCGTCTTCAAATTTTGTTTTCCCGCCTTCAGGACTCACTTACGTCACATTTACTGCCGAAGCTGTTTTGAGGAAGCCGACGTATCTGCGCAACCACAGATCTCTGGAAGTGGACACCAATCGCACAGAGGCACTGGGAGCAACAGAAAGACCATTGGCAAAACATTTGGCACAGTTCTTCCAGTGCTGTTTCGACCAAAATCAGATTCCTACGATGTGGTAAGTTGGAATAATAGCCGATTCACAAAGGCGGGAGCAGAACTGTGCCCTCAAACTAGCGCCCAGTGTTTCTTCTCCCTGTATTGTCTAAAGTCATAGAATCCATGGTTGCCGATTAGTTAGTGTCTTATTTAGAGACTTTTAACATTATTGCACCTAAGCAACACGGCTTTCGTCGACAGCCATCGTGCACAACAAATCCATTCATCGCACGGAGTAGTTGAACCGAGTCAGCTGACGCTGGAGAGGCCGTTGACGTGATCTACTTGGATTTGTCCAAGGCCTCCGATCGTTTAGACCATCGGATTCTCCTTCCCAAACTCCAATACTAAGGGATCGGTGACCCTCTCTTGTGCTGGATCGTCAACATTCTACTGCAATGACAATTAGTGGTCAGAGTCCGGAGTACCTTATCTGAACCCACACTGGTCGAGTCTGGTGGGCCCCAGAGCTCAGTTCTAGGTACACGATTGTGTTTGGCATTCATCAATGACCTTTCACGGAATATCGCTCCAAATTTCATGCTGTTTGCTGACGATATCAAGATATGGTGTCGCATTCAGGCAAATGCCCATTAGAATTCACTTCAGTGTGACCTGGATATGGCACATGAGTGGTCAATCCGGAATCTGTTACGATTCAAAGTGCACAAATACAAGGTACTCTCCATACGACACCAGCGTAACTATTCTTACAAGCTGGGAACGCATTTACTGCAGCGGTCATCCGACGAACGCGAGCTTGGCGTACCTGTTCAGGAGAACTTGGGTAGTTCCAAGCCATCCGCAAAAACATCGAAAACTGGTAACCAGCACGTCGGCTTGCTCCGACGGGCGTTCGAACAACTAGACACCTCTATTTTCAGATGGATACCGAGTGCGTAAGTCCACCCCCATGTCAAATGCGCAATCCCAGTTTGGTAACTATGGCTGAAGCACGATCTTTTTGCACTGGACCAACCTCAACCTCAGGCTTCTAAATACGTCATTGAAATGCGCCACCTTCCATGCGAGCAGATGCTGAAACCTTTTGGCAGTATTCGGTGGGCGCTATCGCCGACTACTTGGCGTCTTCATGATAGCATAGCTGCTTTTGCACAATCCAGATCATGTGTGCCGCTCTTTACCGCCACTCAGCAGTAACACAAAAATTAGAGTCATTCCTTGGAATTGGCTGAAAGGTATAGTCGCCTGGCGTGCCGTAGAAACTTCCTCTCCAGTGTGTGTCAATCATGGAATTATTTTCTCGAATCTGTTGTTTCTGCACCCACGCTAGCAGCCAAATTTAAAAGTCGGTTGGATAACGCACTCCGCCACTTACATTTTGTTACTTGACGCCCCTCTCCATCCTACTCCCGGGAAATACCCTGGATTTACTTTTTTCGCCTACTGAAGCTATGGAAACACTTAGAGTGCAAGACTACTGTATCAAAACGGATAACTCCATTATTTTGACAGTAAAACCACCAAGTGTTTTTTCATTAACCTTTTTCGCTAACCCATTAGACCACCCAACGGGTCTTGTAAAGCCATGTTTCTTAACCGGTATAAAACCATGGTGCATTGTTCATTGAGGCATAGACAAGTGCTGCTTCGGTATTCATTTCTAACGACCCTCCATCTGTGGTCTCCAAGAGTTCTCTGTGTCAGGACGTCAATTTTGTCCGTTTTTGCAGTTCGGTTTTCCTAATGTCATTATACTCCTGACTCCTGGTGCAGTAGTAGCTACTCTTGCCTCACTAAAACCTGCTCTACAGCTGTGCAAACAAGTACTCCCCTCGCTGTCATGAGAGATCCCATGGCACTGTAAGTGAGGATTGCGGATTAGAATACCGCTGAGTTGGAGGAGCGTATGTGCCACTATTGAGTCCCCATGGATCTTGACGGCGGTTCAGCGCTCTTCTGGAGGTGACGCGGCAACCATCTACGTGGTTTCTGTTGTGTCGAATCTACTTGAGGTGCATAGTCTCAAAATTAGTTCCCCCGAATCTGTCACGTGCCATAGCACATCGTTGCCCCGGTCAAACGCTTCATCCGTGTCAGCGAAAACCCCTTCACCACACGCCCTGGGTGAAGGGAAGGTATTATGCATCGACCTACTGGTGGCTTTGGATGTTTGGCAACCACTGACAAACGCGAGTTGTCAGGTGATTATGAAGGAAAGCCCGTTATAAACTGCACCGACCTACCTAGCACACGCTGCTTAATCTTTTGCTCTGAGTCCAGTACAGCTGCGGAAATCGGACTTGAATGGTGGGTGATTGCATTGTTCAATGTTTGAAAGGTCGAAGGAAGTTACTTCTTATCTATCCTCTCTCTCACTCGTTAATAACTAAAGCGGTATTTTGGCCCCAGTCGACTCTTCGTGGCAATGCACAATTCACATAACTGTCGGTTATGTACAAGATCTCACTTACGGTGAAGCTGGGAGTTCCATCTGGCTTCTGCAACACGTACAGTGTACTGTCATCAAACTGAGGCCCTTCGTCCAAGGAGCGTGAAAGCATTCGGGATTGCACGACGCGGCAATCTACTAACAGGGTCACCGCGTCCCCTTTGATGCTGAACGCAATCCGGTACCATCTGGAAAACCAAAGAGGCGTGCAGAAAGATAAGTTGTACTACGGATTTTATAAGAGGATCCTAGTACATGGAAAGTTTATTAAAAATACTAAAGTAAGCTAATCCGAAATAGGACTTTCGCAATTCATGGTTCATAAAGGTAACCTTACAAACTTTTCACGTACAGGGAGAAGCCAGAGTTCAGCTCATAGATGATACTTGAAAAAAAACAGCAGAAGTACGCCTCGGTGCCGCGCAACCACCACAAGTCGTGCGTGGGCTGAGGATACTGCGATGGTCGCCCGATCCCCTACGCAGGCTCGAACCCGCGGCCTTAGGACCAAAAGGCAGAGTGGTGATCCTTTAAGTCCACGGGCTAGCAATAAATGGTAGCTGAATGTTAGTGATTAGTCGTTCACTTGTTCATAAGGTTAGATGTAAACTTCGCTTGCTGCGCTCTGTGACCAACTAGCGTCCAGACAATTATTCTCCTCACTCGTTTATCGGCCAGTCAGTTCGCGCGGAGTGGTGGATTATCACTGTTGTGGTGCTCTGTTGACACGTAATCGTCGTCTTTGGCTGTTTGTTATAGTGATGTTAATTTTGCTCTCTCCAATCTTATTCTTACTATGTTTGAGGTCTGGTAGCACTCGTACCTGGGGTTATAAAAAATTGACTATCATATTACAAATTTAACATAACTTTTGAGAGTACCACTGGTATGGGCACTGCTACATGCGTGTAGGTTGGGGATTTTTCCTAGTTCAGCACATAAGGGTTTATTCATTCTGCAGGAACATGTCTTCAGCAGAAGTGAATTACAACCTTTAGGTAGAAATTTAAGGCATGTTGTAAACCGGAATATGCAGCCGAGAGCTCGCTTTCTAGGAAGTTAGAATATGACGCATTCAGTGTTCTATCTAAAGCCGAGTTAACCATAAACATGTAATCGTACACCTCAGAACAAAGTGGACTCACCGGTCCGTAGTCAGCGGATTTCTAAATTCAGCGGTATGTACTTGACCGTCGCTGTAGTAGTACAGTGTGATGCTGGAGCCCACGGAAACCGCTAACCGCGTAGTCTGTGTGGGATCCACCAAATCAAACAGCCTCTCTCGACCGACGTTTCTGAGCCGCAAAGTGGTGAGGATGGAAAAATCTCTTGGAAACTTTTCTAAAACGAAAGATGGAAGTTTTTTGTGTAAAGACTAGCTATCCCCAAAAGCCTCACTCAGGATTTGGAAATTGTTTCATAAGCTAATAGGAGTGTAACGAATTCTGAAAACCGAGTGAATAAGCACATGAGTTGAAGCATCAAAACTACCTGGCGTGAAACATTGGAGACGTACAAAGGGAACGGGGGGGGCGATGGAGCATTTAGGTGGGACAAATGCGAAAAATGACTTAGTGAATAATGCAGTAATCATCAGTTTATGATATATGAGACTGCTATTGCATGAATGCAATGTAACAGCTGCTAGGAGAAAAAACTGCACCTTGCCACCAACCAAAGCGGCCCATCTTCATCATTAGTGTGTGGGGGGGAAGTAATTCCAACGTTGAGGCAGAAGCTGTCATTCGCTAAAGCTAGTTAACTGCAGTGGGTTGGGAGACCATGCTAAAATCGTTGCTGCTGATTCTCAAGGATAAGCAAGGGTACGAATACCCGCCGCGTGCTTGGGTCGCGACCAGCGGCGTGGCATAGACAGGGGCGGCATGTGACAAGGGGTGGCATTTTTAGTAACGTTGATTGTTCGATACCAAATATAACGTAAAATTTCCGGATAAGCTGTATGACCAAAAGCACATGTGCGCTATGTGTCACACCCACGCAAACGTGCTTTCCATCGATCCCCTTATTTGTGCCATTGTGCGCGCCTTCCTCTTTACCTCAGTGTCCCAAATCACCATTCATTTCATCGAAAACTGGTACGCAATTTTGAGGGTTTATGGGTTTACAACTGCCGGTGTGGATGAAAATTTTACCACCGCCCCAGGCGGCAAATGCAGCTGCTACGCCACCAGTTGTGACTTCGATTTAAGTCGACATAGACCTGGATCATTCCGACCATTTGCACCGTATCCGCAATGGTGGAGTTCCATTTTGCCGACTCTCAACCTTGTACCCCACGACCGGTTTCGTCCTCGTTTGTGCTCATCAGGCAGAAATAGCCGAGAATGGGAGTGCAGCTCAGTAGGTAATGGTTAACATCGGGTGCCTTGATCACCAGGTCACTGAGATTCATGAGAAACACTTGGTACAGAGGATAAGAATTATGCGTTTGCTTTTCTAGTAGCCCAACGTGTGGCTGGATTGCAACACATACGCACAAACACTGAAGACACCTTACTTGGTAACAGTCCTTAGGTTAGCGTAAACGCCATGTGGTAGGGGCTGATGGGTGTAGGTTCCCCAACTACGTTTTTAACAAATCGAAAATCACTAAAGGATCGCCTAGCGACTATATTAGATCCCTCCATCTCTTGTGCAGGCGAATGTTTGGTTTTCGCTGAGGTTCCAGAAACAACTGGCTGACCGTCGATTGCCGGATGTAAAACGATCATTGTGAGTGTCGGGTGTGTATGCGTTCGGGCATCGACCTCGTGATTACTTCGTTGGTATATGTATACCTTCATTAGCTCTTGTAATCCTGTGCTTCTAGTATTTAATGACTGTATAATGGACTCGTGTCACTTGTTAAAAGGGAACGAAGTGTCGCTGGCTACAAGAACAGCCTACTTGTCCATTTCTCGTGCCAATGATCTTCCCACACTGTATACACTATCCTCCATCGCGTAGCAACTTACGCATAGAATGTTTTGGGTCGTGTGGATGGCAACTATATTATAGCCTTAAACGCAGAATTAAGCACAGCCAGTGACCAGTTAATGACAAGGACCCAAGTAACCTGCTGTATCTTCTAGCCATAGATCTCCGCGCTCAAGAATAAGTACAAGTTCTGAAGCTCTACAATGGTCCGAAAGAATACGTACTGCCGACAAGTCTTGAAAAAGCATAGCACCAATTTAGTGCTTGTGCGAATAGAAGTGGAAAAGTTATAGCCATGACTCTGGGGGCCAGGCCTGTCCTCTGAATAGTTCGTACCTTGTATGGCAATGGAGGATGAGCTGTGCTATCCGACAGTTAGTTAAACGTCATGATGTTCTTCCGCTTTCATTCATGACTCAGCGGCATGAGCTGCTGGCAAGTGGCGTAAGTCGCGCGTCCTGATTCAGCAGCACGCTAAACACCAATGATGGGTCCTAATAAGGCGAAACTGCCGTCTGGTATTTTTCCGGATGGGTGGTATTGCAGCTGACCTGAAAGCCACGGCGCTGAGACTTTAAATCAAGTACTTGCGTCATAGTGCTCCATTTGTACTGATATCCGTAGCAACTGTAACATAGCAGAAACCCAGCACACTCAAAGAAATTACTGGATAGTCGATTTATTCTTTCATTGCATTGAAGACAAAAGGGAGGGCGCATGAGTCATGGATATTACGATTAGACAGCAGTAGTCCAGACCCAGAATATTAAGCGGACAAGCGATTATGACCTCACAAAAGTTATGCTTATGGAAAGGCAAGCGCTAAAATCTAAAAAGAGATCTTTTTCGATAATGTTTACAAGGTTGGTTGCAAAATACAGTGGGTTAGCGAAAACATGGTGGCACTTGGTTGAGTTACGACGATTTGAACAGGGCTAGCGCGTATGCTTGACGCCTAAACCAATCGTCACGGGTGGTTACCTACGTGACCGAGCAGCACACGAAGCACTGTTTGGTCGACTGATTGACCGAGGATGAAGAATGAGTACACTCACCCATCACTCCTATCCCGGGATTTCGATCCTGGCTCTGACAAGACAAGAAGCGGCACTGGCACTCTATGAAGCGTAGCGTCGGTCCCGTAGGCATGGTTGCGATCGTCTCGGTCTGCTTTATCAAGAGTATCCTAAGAAAGTAGGACATCGTTTCGACCTTCAAGATGTTCAAATTCTAAATTTTAACTCCAATCTAGACCGAATGTACCACGTTGGCAATATTAAGACTTCTAGCTGTGCCTTTCCATACTGACACTGGGATTTTTTCGCTTTCTGTATCGGTAAATGTCTAGTAGTGTGTCTGTGTTGCTTTACTGTAAGGCTATAATTAATACGGACAAAACATTTATCCTAGCTTATAGGCGTTGAGCAATTCTGGTGTTTCTTGTTAACAAACAAAACCCAGGATCGATTTGAAGCTCAGTCCGCTTTTTTATGTGCAAGAAACAATCTAGCGTTGATTCGTAAGGTCAGACTCACGCCTACGGGCCTAACACTTGGGGCACTAACATATAAGAATGTATCGGCAAAGACTGTGCAAGCGATCCGAGGCTACATTTGGGGTGTACTAAGCGTTGCACTAACCTATTGTGACTATGCAAGAGCCTACATGAGGTCAGACAGGTTTCGAACGCAGCTGTATCGAACAGCTCAACTGAGACGAAGTCTTCTTGAAAGTAAGGTGCCGTTTTACTGGAAATGATCTACTACAGCACGAACAAACAATGAATGACCCAGCTCACAGTCTGGCGCGTATCAGAATTAACTTGATTATGGTTGTTGAACTGTTCGCTGAGCTTGGCAGTTTTGTTGCAAACCTTTCGTCACTAATCGAGGTGACATCAGTGCGTAGTTGAGTGGCGTGCAGTAGCGTAGAGTAGCGTAGAGAAGCCTCGGTGAAAGTGCGCTGAGCGTGGTGTGCGTGCGTTTTTATACCGCCATGGTTGGCAGTGGAGCCGAGCAATCCTATTGCTTGGGATTTCGATCCGCTTTCAGCTTGGTTGATTGGCAGATGACCTTTGACCTCGCCTCTTTGTGTTTCGTTGACATTGTCTGCTTGCTCTTGCGCCCGAGTCTGCCGTCAGTTCTGGTTGCCTAGTCACACGTTCCACTGGATTCAATCGATCGAATTGGCGGTCGTTCATCAGTAATGTGGCGTATACTGCGTCCAGTTCGATGTTCCGATTGATTGAATGCGTCGTAGAATACCAGGCTTCCAAAAACTCCCTCGCGTGTTTTGTACTTCCATGTGCTAGGATCTTTAAATTCTCCAGAACGAAATGACAGCCTGGTTGCTCTTCATGCGCAGAAACCAATGAGTGCGGATCATGCATTCTGACGGCCGCCTTGTGTTCGGTGATTCGTGTACAAAGCTTCCTTCCAGTTTGTCCGACGTAGTTTTTATCGCAGTCGCTGCATTGAATCTGGTGGATGACCTTGCATTGGTCGGCTCGACTGACTTTTCCTTTTGGGCTTGAGATCAATTTCCTTAGAGTGGCACTTAGCTTGTGAGCCACAGAGGTTCCATGTGACTGCAGCAACCTTCCGGTTAGTTCGGAGACGTTCTTGATATAGGGAAGCACTATCCGTTTGTTTGCTTGAGCAGCTGACTGCTGCTGCTGTTGTTGAGGCATTCATTTCTTTAAGCTTTTTCTAAACACTCGATACAGGTGAGTTCCTTCCTGGTTCCGCGATTCGGCTGTGCTCCAGTTCGTTTCTGCTCCTTTGAAAAGGGTTTGAATGCAGCTCTTCTTGTGATACCTCCGGTGGTTGCTGTGGGTTTAATATCTGGTCCGTATGCATTTTCTTCCGATATACGCACGTTTCCATAGATCTGTCTGTATTCCTAGTGACTAGTACATCCAAAATGATAGCTTGTTATCCTCCTCTAATTCAATCATAGATTTGATATCCTCGAATGTGCTGTTGAGCAAATCGTGCGTGACCCGTACTCTGTTACGTTTTACGATGGCAAACGCGTCGTCCGCATATCGTATACAGAGTTTTGGGCCTTTAGATGGCAGTCAACCATTCGACACATTGAACTGGACGCAGTATACGGCACACTACTAATGAACGACCGCCAACTCGATTTTGTTCGCCATTGGGTTCACAGACAGACGCTGGAGACCCACGTCTAAGGGATTGCTTTGAACACTCATCAGTTCAAAGCAAGCCAGTGGTGAAATCGGAGACGCGTCGAAGTGAAACATTCCCGTCACACAACAAACCACACATGTGCAATCAGTATTGCCCATGTGCCACAACTTATCCTGTTAGTATTTGATGGCCACAAGAATGGCATATTCCAGTCACCCACTGATGCATAATAGGCGGAGCTCTTGATCCCAGCTGCTCAACAGACAGTGATCGTGTTCTAACTTGGCTAGTGAAGCAACGCCTTTCTGTGCCCAACAGGAAGGTTGAGCATCGTTCACGCTGGGTACTGTTAGTAGTCCCCAAAAGGTGGCGCCGAGGGTGCTGGTGTGGAAGTGCGTACAATTTTTCAGTGTTTACGGCAAGACCTGCATATCCTGTCGTAGCAAGAAAGTATTAAGGTCAGTGAAGCAGGATACAGTCATTTATGTAAGAGCAACTCAACTTAGCGACCAGGTTAGGAGGACTGGTAGTGGCCATCGGGTAAGCTCAGTTGCGGCTGGTCGCAACGTATCATGCGAGCTTCTAATTGAGGCAAACAAGGGCCCAGGTTACTCTCGTGGCACCCACTTTTCTACGGCTTCATGCCCAAACGGAGGAACGGCTACCTAAGTGCAACCGACCAGCATCAACGGAGTCTGGACCAAATTAATTCTCCGGTGCGGATGCCGTGTCGCAAACCTTGATATTTCTATCGATTTTGGACGGACTATCGGTGCACAGTACTGGCCTGGTGAATCATCGAGTTGCTACGTGACATAGGGTCCTAATGTCAGAACACCCTCCGCCGCTGATACAGAATGAGCTGTGTATTAGTCCTGATAGACTATGTTGGACGCCTACTGAACTCACTGGTAGAGCACATGATAAACAAGTAACATGCTAGGTGGCCGCGTGAGAAATACATTAGTGACTCAGTCAATAGTGATGTAGCGGCGCAGCTGTCAGGGATGGGTGATGGATAGCGGTGAGAGAGCTAGGATCGACAAAGACTTGCCAAAAGAAGTGGATTTTCACCACTTCCAGATAAACACACACAGACCTTCACCATCGTGTACGCTGACACTCGTGCTCCCGCAGAGAACACAGTATTTCGCCCCAAATGGTCTTGGAACATGCGCCTGGCCAATTTCAGCTCCCATTGGTTGCAAACATAATACAAGCAGAACATCTTCACAGTCATATACATGGAAAAATCAGCAACACCAATGTAGATGTCATAGTCAAAAAACAAGGTAACCTGATCGATTGCTTCAAGCGTGCCTGTGCACATAACACAAGTTGGTGGGCCATAACTAATAACGCCTCACTGCTTGCCAACGTTACCAGGTTTTTATTGATCAATAACATCTTGCACGCGGTCACCTGGTCCACTTGTATACTGTGCGAGGCATTGCTCTTCACAGCCGTTAGAGAAGTTCATCAGGCAGTTCGGTCATTATAGTGCATTATTACTTCCCCTGCAGTTGCGATGACATTTACCTGGAGAGAACTGAACTCATTTGGCTCAGAAGATAGCTGAAAGTCTGCTCAAGTGGTTGGGACAAGTAATGAAGAATGAAGGCGGAGGGGATCTGTGGATGAACCACCGGAGCACGCCGTCATCTATCACTATGCACCTCATGGCAACTCGTCTTCAGGGAACCTGGAGACCGCGTTCAAGACGTTATTGCTTAAGGAGTACCCGGTAATAGTGGTAATCAGTGAGGTGTTGCTAATGAAAGACAGACAACCTGTTATATACACAGACACTTGAGTCAATCACTTAGCTTACCTTTGTTCTTGAATATGACATTTTCGATGGGTATTTGTAATGGTTCTAAGTGTATGCGTTCTCTTTGTGTTACGTTTGCGACCGATGAGAAAAATCGAACTGCTGATGTCTCGCAAGTTACGTCTTCTCTGTTTTGACGAAATAGCTGAAGGGATCTCTAACTTTTACACTTTCAATCGGTCTCACTGCGCAAAGCACCCTTGATGTCATCACGGGATCCGATACCCCGTTTACTCTGCATCCTCTATGCTCACCACCATTTTGAAATCACCCATCCGTTGGCACCATTGGGAAGATGGGTTAACCAAAGCTGCAAAAATATTCAGTCGTTAGTTGGGGGCAGCAAAAATAACGTATGGCCTACCCAGGAATGCGAAGTTTTGATGTGAGCGATGAGTTTAATGAAAACTAGCATCTAGAGAAAAACTGTGTTAGCTGACGCTGGGTTGTCGCTACGTGGCGACCTCATCCCCAGGGGACTGAGGCGATGCGGGCTAAAGGTTAATTAGCGTTTATGAAGCAACTCAAGTATTTCCAATTAAACAAAATAGTCAATAATTTCAAGGATTCAGTAATCTCAATAATCGGCGCAACTCACTCGGCAATACTTGCGATGCAGCCACGTTGAGAGTTCCGCCACGGTGGTAGGAATACGCGTTGTTAGGGGTATCAGCATCCGACGGGGGGCAGAATCCAGGCTGGCGGGTCACGTGAGTGGGATCGGCTGAAGCGATGGATACTGCTTTGAGCAGATCGATGACATCTGAAAGCGTTACAAAGCGGGTATTGATCATTTCCTTGCTACAAGTGACAAAAGCATCACGGATTAAAAAGCCACCTAAATACAATCCATCGGTCAGCGCCTAGTGTTGCAGTGATTAATCAGTTCATGGATTCACGTTTAAGCCAGGTAGCTTAGGACGATCTGATATTGCAACGGACGGGAACAGATCCCTTCAAGGTCGGAAGCGCAAATTTGACCTAACCAGATAGTGGATGAAAATGGTGTCCGCATCCTATCAGGTTGACAACAGTGCAAATGAAATGTCCATGCGCCGTTATTGTCAGTCAAGCTCTCGAAAGGGCACAAATGTGGAGAAATATGCACAACTTCATCGTGGGGTCGACCGCTTGACGCCGTAGCCAATCTGAGCCGTTCGATTGCTTCTGATAACCGTGATGTGGTAGCTAAACCATCAAAAGTGCTCATGTCGTTTTCCTCATGGGTTTTAACACGAATGTGATCGCATATTATGTACTTCAACAGCCACTCAGGTCAGTAAACGGATAATAAGATCAAGTTGTTGCGTTTGAAGAATTGTGGCCCGACTCGTTAGCAGCGGACTCACAATATATCAGGTCGTGTGGAAATGTATCCGGGCGACAAATTCATAATCGTGTAACCCACGAATGTGTCACCTATGCCTGGTTACGATGATATCCAGCGCATGCTTAGATTCAAGCATCAATCTTAGGTTGAGAGCAAAGATAACCCAAGTGAAATGTAAATTCTATCGTTGTACTACTTTAGTTCCTTAAATTTCGTAACATCAGTAACTGGTTCAAAGACGGAGACAAAATGAGTCCTCAGAAGAAGTATAAACGTGTTTCCTTATTGGCAGAAAACGTCATTTCACGTTCTGCCTGTATGACTCGCTGAGCTCAAGGATGTTGTTTCGCCCCCCTCCTCGCTTCACCCCACAACCGCAGGAACTCCAAAGACGAACCGGGAAACGACTTGTATGCATTAAATCACACTGGCTTATATTGTTGCGATAAGGTTTTGAAGGGAAACTAGTAACACACACTCGCGCCAATCAAACAGAGAGAAAACGCTAAATCCAACAGGCGGCTGAGCAGTCGTCCAATAAAGAACGAATCAGGTATGTCCTTGGAAATGGCATTATGGGACCCAAACCGTAAAGTGAACATCCATTCACAACGATGGGTGCTGGCCAATCAGAATAACGAAACGGCTGATTGGAAGGTCAATTTTGGACTACACGTTGTGTGATTGGATTGCGACGCGCAATCTCAATGTGGGCCGCGATTCCCATTGAAGTGAACCTTGGTCACTATAAGCAGTGTCTTCGGGCGGGCAACACCCAATTTCCATCTGCAACGAAACGGCGTGTCTAAACAAGTGTCACGAAGCAGACGACAGGAAGTAATGAAAACCTGGAAACTAAGAACTACTACAAAAATGATTGTCAACGAAACTTTCCATTAACATAACCAAATGAAAGTTATGGGAATAAAAAGCAATCAAATGTGCGTTTTGAAATGATGCTTCTGAAACTGACACGTAAGTTAAGCCTCCACTACTAACGACGTGCATTTGCCAAGCGAACTAACCATGTGGAGCTTTTAGCCAACTGTCAAGAGGTAGACGATAGGAAGAATGAAAAACGGCAACTAAGATCGTTCACAAAATAAACGTCAAATAGTGCTTCTCCTAACAAAGCATCACGCAGACTCCGGAGCAGTACTTCCTCTTAAACTCGGAATTCAGATTAGCCGTGGCGGATTCAGACTTGCAGCTCCCCTACTCTCTTTGGTGCCACTTGCAGTTAAAAGGCAGGGACGCTTGCCTTATTGTCTTGGTGTACCGACTGCTACCTAGCGGCTGCTTTAAGATACAGTTTACAGCGAAAGTACACTCACATACTAATCTTGGGTGATTTCAACGTACATTGTGTAGAAACTCCTGCTACGATCGGGGAACAATTCAAAGCCGAGCTACAAGATCTAGCAACCAGTGTTCCTCTTTACAATCACATCACTTTGCCCAATCGGTTCAGAACAGGTCACAGGCCATCTGTGCTGGATCTTATGCTTACCAACGAAGAGCATATGATTGATGTGTTGGTTTTAGACTGCCCGTTGGGTCGCAGTGATCATGCAGTCATCAGTTTCAAATTCGTCTGCTATGTGGAATATCGGAATGATAACGATGATACTGTGCGAACCACCACAAGCTACGTTTGATTAGCCCAGCCCGTTAGCGCCACAACTTGGTTGTTCCTTGCCGAAGAATCCACGGAACTCACCTGGCTCGAGTTTGTCAATAAATGTAGTCAGCTGATTGCAACGGCTTCAGAAATAAGCGTTTTCAATAAATGTACATCCGTTTCTTTCGTTAGGAGCAGAACGCGAACATGAATGACAGTACGCAACCCAGCATGACGAGTGTACAGAGAAGCTGCAGCACCAGAAAATTGAGATAATTATATAGTCCAACATAACTACTGCACTCAGCTGCTAAGAGAATATAAAGCCGTCTATCATCAGAACATCGCAAAAACATTCAATGCTAACCACAAAACGGCTGTACAAACACGTCAATTGCCTACGAAAAGTGAGGCAAGGATTCCCTCCACTCAGGACGGCTGGTGGCTCAACAAGAACGGCTGTGGAAGCAGCAAACGCGCTGCGGATGCAATAGGACCCTAGGTTTCAGAGTGTCTTGTCACAAAGCGATCTCACAATCTTTGTCGTCTCCTCGCCAGGACTAACCCACATGACTTTTAACGTGGAGGTTGTATTGCAAAAGCTGACGTCTTTACGCAAACACAGCTCGCCGGGTGTCGACACCCTTCGTCCAGAGGCACTGGAAGCAGCAGTAAGCCAGCTGGCAGGATCTTTAGCTCATTTTTCCAGCGCTGCTTAGACCAGAATCAAGTTGATCATGTCAAATACGCAATTGAAGCCTGACATCCATGGCTGAAGCACGACATTAATGCACTGGTGCAGCCACAACGTCGGGCATCTAAGCACGTAATTGGACTACGCGATCTTTCATATGTGCAAATGCAGAAACGATTTCGGGTATTGAGCGGACGGTATCGCAGATTACGAAGTGACCTCATTATGACATACTTTATTCTGCGAGACCCACATCATTTGTGCCGCCCTTTACTGCGACTCAGCACCAATACGGCCCTGAGGGGCCACTCATTGAAACTCGCTGTACGGTACAGCCGCCTGGAGTGCCGCAGAAATTTCTTTGCCATTCGTGTCTGTCACCCGTGGAATGCTCTCCAAATATCGGTTGCCACTGTAGCGACACTAACAGTATTTAAAAGACGGTTGGATAACGCACTCATTCACTTACAGTTTGTCACTTAGCGCTAGGTTTCCATCCTACACCTGGCGTTTGCCATGGAAATATTTGATGTTAACTGTGGGTGCTGTGAATCTAAGCGGATTGCAGGACTACAGCAGAGCAAACGATAAATGATTAGTTTCATATTTAAACTACTAACTGTTTTACTATTGTCGTTAGTATCAGTAGTATTATTTTGATAACCCCATCAACTATCTAATGGACCTTGCAAAACAACGCTTCTTAACCCGTATAAATACATTGTCCAACTTATCCCTCAATCCACGCTAGTACTAGGTGGAAAGAGAAGGTGCGTGTCCATCTAGACACAGTGCGGTAGACAGCCAATCCGTTAAGGTCAGTCTACTAGATTGTTCCTTCAGTTCACGATCTTATAATTTCTTTCGCACGGTGCTCAGCAAGTAAGTCATGCATATTCAGGACTGGTGTTTCATACTTCATCGCTAGGTCCTAGTAAGTTATGAGGTCATATTTTGTTCTGTTCTCCGAGCTGAACAGTTTCCTTGCAAACGTTTCATCACCAATCGTGGTGACTTCTTCAGTGCGTTATAAGCAAACTGAGTTGTTTTGTCGATTTTTACCGACGAGCGAGTGACATCTGAACTTACTCACTTCGAGGTGTTGTCACCTGAAATCGCTAGTAAGTCTAAGAGGTCGTTATGAATCGATAGTGGTTGCCTCCACTGATAGACAATATTTCCAATGTTTTGGTAACCGGCTTATTTTGGCTACACTTAGTCAAACGTTTAGGGGATCATCGTGATAGAGGCCCAAGCAGGCTGTTAGAAATTATACGAAGGTTGTTGTAACTTTTTTTTAGAAGAACCAACAAGTCTTCAGAACTGGGCAAAGTCTTTCCTAAACCACCACATAAATGGCTCCTCATTTAACTTTGCGACCTACACTCCCGTTGAGGACACGCAAAATCTTCCCGACTCATCTAACAAGCCGTGCAGAGGACTTTTGCAATACAACTAGACCCAGTCTTTTCAACATTTGGCACGTTTTAACCACCGAAAGGGCTAAGCCGCCCCTGAGGCATGAGCCCAACCTAACTTCCACGTAAGCTGGATTGATGATGTTAAATCGTCTGATGGTGAAACCGTTGTATGCACATCTGAGAACAAAGCATCATTTCCATCTACTTTGCAGCTTACGAGTATCAGGAATACGCAGCAGTGCGCTGGAGTGTTCGCTGAAATAGGCCCGTAACTTGATTGCGGTCAAACATCAGGCCCTCCTTTGACCGCCATATTCGAAGAAGGGACCTTTGCTAGTGTTGCCACGAACACTGCGCTCCATGACCAGAATCATCCTAATTCGGTCCATTAATGTAAAGAGCTTACTTGCTGTTCAAACCCGTAGTGATCAGATATGAATAGTCGTTTGTCTTCCTGAGAGGTGGTCTGAAGCAGCGGTGCTTTGTTGCCCTTCCATAATGGGGTCTCCAGTCTACTCGTTACGTAACTGGATTACCGATTCCCTGAAGTTGTCGCTTGACTGCCTGCAAGTATATGCCTGCTGTGCCAGTTAACTGCAATAGTGAATCGCCATCGCAGTCATCTGCTAGGTACGGGACTTAGTACAGACTACCAGTGCCTGGAAGTGAAGTCGATTCAGCCGAATGGTATGCAGACCATGCATATGTAGGTAAATGACCGTTGAGAAGTTCGGTGTGAAAACTTTTAACAATGAGAAAACGGCTATTGCACTCTGAGCACCTCGTGGTTGAGGCCATTGGCTTGCTGGAGCGTCAACCGATCGACAGCTGGGATAAGAACGTGATTCGCTGTTGGAAAGAGGGGATTGGTATCTATGCGGATCTGTCTACATCAATGAGAGGCATGCGAGAATCTTACATCACCGAAGGCCATACTTTGGCTGCGTGAATCTGTAGCGAAAGTGATGTGTCACCATGAGAGGTCTTGAAGTCCAACACACGAGCTTTAAGCATATAATAATGCCATCTTATTGTGAGATCAGTTATAGCGGAAATTCTGCTAACGGCAAGTTAACCATTGTAGATACTCTTTGTGTGCACCTAAAACACACGATTTCGTAAGTAAACAGTTTTTTAAGACCAAGACTTGGCACTTCTGTCGAAACCTTTTCACAGGGTTGTTCCTCTGAATTGAAGCTACGATAGAATGTGAAGTGCATGGTTAATGGAATCAGAGTGAACAGTCAAGAGAAATTGGCTACAAGCTTGCCAGGATACCATATGTACGAACTCCTTAGTGGTGGTGGTTAAAGGAGTGTGTTAAACCATACACCTCAACATCAAAGTTGTGTGTTTCCCTTTGAATAAGCTTACAGTCAGCAATGCATCTTATGAAGGATGTTGATCATGAATTGTAAGAAGGGGGACTCTGATAACTTACCATTTGTTTGGGCTAAAACCAACGCTTGAAATGTGCTCACAACTGCTGTGGCAACAACAATCCAACACACATACATACCCGGCGCAGTCCACGTTGAGCACTTCTGGGGCGGTGTGAAAGACAGTAGTTTCACAGCCATAATTTCACATAACACGTGGAAGCAGCTTGTGAGGGCACAGAACTGGTTGCATCAGTCGCGCTGCATTCCACCGAGCTACCCTGATCGGCGTTCGACACGTTGTCTCGCGGCGCAGCACCTCGCGGCACCGGTACTATACGCGAAGCCCGGGTGCGCTCGATCAATCAATCGATTGGTCCATCTATCCCCTGAATGTAGGTGCGTATTCGGTATCTACGATCCATTGGTCGAGCGTTTGGTGGGCACAGCGAAATGAGGTGCAATCGACCCCATTTCGTTTGGCTCCCCCTCGTTTGAATGTCATATCATGACCTAGACCAGAGACAGACATGTGCGGTACTGTCTTCTGGACATTGCGCCACGCTCTGACAGCAGTGCGCGCGTCTTGTTTGCGGTTCGGTGTGTGCAACCCCAATGCGATCCATCCATCCATCGAATATAGGGGCGAACAGGGAACAAACGGACAGGTGGTTATATCTCCGTATCCTGCCCCATCTGTTGCCCGAGCGAACGCAGCTCGATACAGACGATAAGGGGTGCCAACTCCCCAGGGTTTTTGATGTACATTCAGATCAATATTTTAAACTGTACCGGCCGGCACGTTTTCTGGCACACAGATGCGAGTACAACTTGTTAGCCAGGATGTATGGATTATTGTCGACCGTTGTTACCTAATTGTCGAACCGTTGACCCACATCAATGCGTCGGTTATCATGAGTTAACCAAGATACTCCACTCTGCTTTACAAGCAGAGGATGCTACGGCAATCTCTCACGTGGCCTTGAGCGTGATAAGAATCCATCCGCATGGAACATTGATGAGACTAAAGGTAGCATCACTTCTCTGCTGACCCCATTTGCTTCGCGAAGTGGCCAGCGAACAGTGTCAAGTGGAGTCAAATAAAATCAGCACGATCAATTTAACTTCCGTCCGAATAAATTCAGACTCTCCCCTACTTTCGCTTCAGATTTCATTAGTTTACAAGTATCCCAGTTGTGATTGTAAACGTATTTGCCTGATGTGAGTTACCGAAAATAGATCTCTTTGCAACCGTGTTTTCTTACATTCCTATGGGCATTAGCTACAAAAGTAATAACTGTAGGGAAATCAGCGTTCACGATTTACTGGAATTCAAAGGAACTAGCGTGAAACGAAACGACATCAGAGGTGTAATAACGAATCACCTAAAGGAGAAACTCTTCGTTCATTTGCAACGTATTCTCACATTAAAGCCGGTACCTAACACAAACAACTGCCATTTATGTACCTTCAGGACTTCAATGGTGTCCCTTCCTAATAGCGGACATAAGATTACTCCACCGCTCAGCGTTGTTTTATGAGTTTTGCCCCACTCACCCTACCCTCTGTTCCGGTTCCTCGTATACGTTCACTTTTGCCTCACATTTGTGATTAACGGATGGACACTGAATCTTACGCTTATTAGCTCTTCTCTTACTTTGTGTATCACCGTCGTTCGTGAGGCTACTTATCGATCCCCCGCTTTTTGAACTGACCAGCCTTGACTGATCGAATGCCAGCTTTTCCGCATAGCCTGTGTAAATGCGCTGATTTGAAAGATTCGATTGCGTTGCACACTCAGACGCTTGGTACCCGGTTTGGCGTGCTGCGTGAACATTGTTTGTTGCCGGGTCGTTGGTGTTCTCACTACCGTTAGTGAGTGGAAGCAGTCGGGGGGCTCCGACACAACACCCTTCACCCCGTATAGGTAAATTAACCAGATGAAGGCTGTTATGGGAACCCAATGTCCCCACAATGATCACAAGCTTAAATCACGGAAGGCAATGAGACTCGATTCAGACAAGTGCACATGTTTCGATCAGCCTTCCAACTCGTGAGAGACGTTCACCTTTCGATTGGCCTTTGTACCTCAGAAAACATCCCTGTTTCCGGTCAACCTCCGCAATCGTAAAACATTCCGCCTTTTTTACCTATATATATATATATATATATATATTTGCAAAAGTCTGTTAACAGACATAATGCCATCAGAAACCATGGGATTCAAACGAAGGTACAGAAACAGTAAAATAAAACACAACACAACAATGTCCATGGTTTCCTCAGAGGGCGAGATACTACCCGGTTGCCCAATCCGAAGTAGGGTGTTGACTTAGGGGACACCACCCTGAGCCTTTGGCTTAATAGCCTGCCCGCAAGGCAGCGAAGCGAATTCAGGGAATCGCGCCCATTGGGAGCCGGTAACTGATTGCTCAGTTCATACGCCTTTCATTTGTTCCTTTGTCAAACAGGGGCCCAATGCACCCTAGAAGTACAGCATAAGATTGCTGGAATACAATGCTTCGCCAGGATGAAGCAAGGGGCAGTGACTTTATTTAGTGTCGAGTCACGTCCGGCACGTCACAGTGTTGTTAAACGGACATATGCGGCTTTTTATAGGGAGAACGCTTGCCTGGCGGAAACCCACGACGTCCTGGGACACTGCCGCTGAACCATTTGCTGGAACGGGAAAATCCCGAACCACCCAGCTGGTACCACGAGAAGGTTGTTCGGCAAGCCAGCCGCCTTTTTTACCTAAGGAACATTCAGTTTTCTAGTCCAACCTCCGCATCTACCAACATTCCCTTTTCAAGATGTTTTGTTGTCATATTTGCAAAGTGCCAGTTCAGTTGCTTACACGCTTTGCTTACGCAAACCATTGGCACCATCGAGGTATAAAAGAAACGCCGGACTGTGCTGTAATCGCCTTGAGTCTGGCCAGTGCCTACGCGAAAGGCCCGTCATATTTTTCTCTGGTTTGGCCAGCTGTGTGTGAAATTGCGTTCGGTCTAGGAGCCCGTTCAACTCGCGCGTAGTAACCGTGTCGGGTAGTACAACTACGCATTTCGTTGATTACTTTGTCGTGCATGAAATAGTTCTAAGCCACATTCATTCAGCCGGCTAAGAGAGTTGATACCAGCTCGTCAGAGCTTGCAGCAACCAAGAGGCAGTTATAACAAAGGTAAAACTGGTCTAATGGCTCGCTCACCAGCGTTGTATTACAGTGGAACTGCCTCTTGTACCAAAGTAACCTAATTCAACTTAGTGAACCATTTTCTCTTCCATATTTCTTTTATCGAGTCGTTCTACTACATACGTAAAGAGCGAATAAAAAGAAAAGTGCCATTCATACACACTGTGATATATGACAAACTCAACATGACTGGTTGGTTCTTGATGTTCCGTACGGAGAGGCTGCGTCCAAAACTGTGGCTCAATTTAGAGCACAAGTGTCCACTTTGATTCTACACTTGAATGTGCTGATCTGCGGGTGCGTTTTGGCGGGGGTCCTCGATAACCCTGTGTGCGCATAGACAGCAGCCAACTGACGAAGCCAAATGTTCTGAATGCATTTCAAATTACGCTGGCGTTCAGGTTGAGCAAGCGCTCACTGAAAACACATAATGGTCACTGGTCGCATGTTCATCAAACCTTACTAGCAGTGCGCAAATCCTCATGTGGTAAGTTTAATCGTCAACATGTACATTGCTTCTCTTCACATTCGCTGGAACTTATCGATGATCACCGGCGCATTCTGGTTGGAAGCAAACACACTGAGATTCGCAAAGACATCAATGCAAGGCTCCTTGCTAACGTGAAGAGAGATGGCGAATCCTGATGTTCCCATCGTGCGTCAGAGATGGAAGTGGACGATGCTCTTGGTAACCATCAGAGTTACTTCGTCTGATACGGGAAACGGGCAGCAAGAGACCTGGTGTTCGTGAAAATATATGTGATTATAGTGGACAGCAGATCTACAACTTTTCAGAACCCCTGGAGCATTGGGCTAAGCAAGTTGAAAGGCAATTTAATCAGTCGGAATTGTCAGATTTCTCACCGGCCACTGATGGCCCTGCATCCTGGGCTTCCCCTTTGGATCCGCCTTCTAGCTCAGAAGTCGAACGTGAGATCGGACGGCAAGCTGTCATCCCCTTCAATATCACCAGCAATGTAAGACAAGGATATCCGCAGCCAACTTTCCTGTTCCACTTTGCTATTGACGAAATCATGGAGATTGCGATCACAAGAAACGACCTAGGTGTGCAGCTGATCCAAAGTAAATGACTTCTTGACTTGGAGTATGTTGACCGTATTACTATCCTTTATGACTGCTCACCATCATGACAAGCGGCATTGGACAGGTTAGCACTGGTTGTAAAACTTTTCGAGCTATACTTTGCACCCTCGAAGTGCTTTTGCTAAAGGTTGCCTCTCATAGCGCCGGCGCGACAGCGCTTTGGCTCTGAAGGGTGAAGTGTACAATGTAGCCGTACGTTCGACCCTACTACACGGTTGTGAAACCTGGACCATTAGATCAGCCGACATAAAGAGTCTAGTTAAGTTCAGTCATCGCTATCTTCGCAGCCTAGCTCTTGTCTGGTGGGAGCACCGCATAAGTAATGCTCGTGTTCAACACCGTGGTTATAGCACAAGAAAAGAAGAAGCGAACCGCTCGGCACCGTTATTTCACACCCCAGGCTCCGATGGATGGGCCAGGTGTTACGCATGCCAGCCCACCAACTCTCGCGTCGTGCGTTGCTTGCTCGCCGGGGGTATGGATCGAAGAAGAGGAGAGGTGGCCAATCAGTTACTTCGAAGCTGGCTTCCTTTGGAGCATCGCGGCTCCCTGGTTGGGGTCCGAAAGACGATGAACACGTTCGCCTGGATACACTTGTTAACATGGCTAGGAGCCTACTTCAATGGCGTTCGTGCTGTGAGTTTCTTTGTCCCATCCCATCCCTCTCAGCCTAATTCTTTAACCACGAACTCATTTATGATGCATAACATAACATTTTTTGCATCACAATAGCCGGCTGTTAGCTCTCCGAAACGGTGTCCATCCGTTACTGGTGACTCAGCCGGCGTGCTTCTGTTACGTGTTTTCTTTTGTATTGCGGCCAATAGCTGAGGTGTTGTCCACCTGTAACTTACGTGTGAAATGATGATGACGGACCTGAGGCGAGTGAAAATAGGTGAAGGAACTGAACGCAACGAATCCGACGTTGAGATGAAATCGTTGAAGCCACGTCAGTGAGACAGACTTCATTAACAGTTCAGTACTGTTGGATCACCCACTACCAATCGACGCTTGACAACGGACAACACCACATTCCCATGAAGTAGACAATTACGCTAACCTCAGTCATGGACCCAACTAGGTCCAAACGTCAAAGTTACCTAACACAGCGGG